TTTTTTTTGGCTGTAATGGTTCAAGCTAAAAAACCCCAAAATGACCGGAGGTCCAGACGTGAGGTCGTCGTTCCAGTAATTCGGATAGTGGGCGGAACTTCTGACACCCATCATGACCTCTGGGTTTAGCGTTTAGGGTTTCGGGGTGTAGTGTTGAGGGGAGTCAGGGAGTTTAGGGCTTAATTAGGGATTAATGAGGGGCGGGCTGACTTCAGGGGCCTTGGTAACTGGACTGCGGCTTTGGAGCACAATACCGTAGTGTGACAAATCACACAGGGGTGATCACAGGATTATTTTTCTGGATTGTCGGATCCGATTGTCGGATCCGCAGATTTCGGGGTCTTAGGAGATTGGTTTTGGGTGACCAGAATGTAAGATTTCAGGGCCACAGTTCGGGTTTAGGGCTTCAGGTGTTTAGGGTTTAGGATTTCAGGTGTTTAGGGTTTGGGGTTTAGCGGCTTTGGGGCATCAAATCAGAAACTGGCGTTACTAATTATAACTTATGGACAGGTTTGCTATTCGACACGGTACAATAGTACTAGTAAGTTGAATAATAGCCTAATTGTTGGGGACTGGGGCAAAAACTCGCACTAATTACTCCGCCATCTACATTCTCGATGTTTTGGTGACACCCCTGTACTAGGATCCCCGTATCCTAGGAATAAAAGGGCTCCCCTTTTCGTATGGAGTAGTCATGTAATTAGGGAGCCTAAGACCAGAAAAAGGGTACAGGGACCACTATCCCCGAAACCCTCAACCCTGGACTCTATGTTTTGGTGACACCCTTTTGGGAATCGAGCCCGCAGTCGCCCAACGCAGCGTGCAACGCAGGGCTCAGGAAGCTGGGGCCACTGGAGAATGCGAGGCTTCCGAACTCAACGGTGTGGCTGGCAAGTTAGGAAACTTAATTTGAGCTACCGTTTAATGGATAGATAGATATGTATATATATATATATGGCAGGTAATATGGATATGCATAGGCAAATAATAAAGTTTCCTTATTATAGAAACTTAGCCAAGATACCATGATGGGTATGTATATATATATATACACACATACATATAGTAAATAGTAAGGTTGCCTTACTATAGGAACTTAATTTAAGTTAACATGATGGGGATATGTAGTAAACACTAGGGTTTCCTTATTACAGTAGCTTAATTTAAGTTCCTTAACAGCAACCCAGTCAAGGAGAGTGGCGATCACACTGCCCTCTTGCTGGACCGTGGCTTGGACTGATCCAGCCCCAGCCCCGATAGCAACGAAGAGATCTTGGTCCAGATTCAACATTGCAACAGATTCCAGTCCCGCTTCGGCCACGGCGGCCAGTGTCTGGATTGACCTTCTGCTTGCTCATTGATGGAGGCCTCGGGTTTCAGGCAATGGTGTTGGCAGCGTGTGCCTCCGACGTAATCAAAGCGACGTTGCTTTTCCCAGAGAACCCAATACCCCTTAACTAAGGAATATACCTTAAATTATAGGGGGCCTTAATATTATGATTTAAGGCATATTCCCTTCATTAAGGGGGTATTGGGTTCTCTGGGTTGACACGATCTCAACTCCGGGCTGCCTTGTCCCGCCACCTTGCCGGTCAAAGAGCACTCGAATGCGGTAGCGAACCCGAAGGGTCCATGTACCCAAATAGGGATCCTTTAAGGGTTCCATTAAGGGGTCCTTTCAGGGTTACTTTCAGGGTACCATATAGGGAAATTAGGGCCATGTACCCCAAATAGTATATACTTTGGCCTTAAAGTGGTACCTATAGGTACTTTGGGACCAAAGTATAAACTATTTGGGTACATGGACCCTTGGGGAAGTGCTCGGTGAGACCGGCAAGGCAGTAAGTCTCTTCTATAGGCCTTTGGTGATGGGTGTCCGGAGTAATCTAAGGCTTCGGGCTACTAAGCCCTAATCCCTAAACCGTAGGCGTATCTTTACGGCTTAAGTTTATTAAGAATGTAACTCAAGAGCTCTCCCTGCCCTAATCCCAACTTGGCCCTATCGCCCCGGCCACAAACACCAAAACCCTGAAGCCTACCCACAGAATGCACAGCTTTCCGAAGTACAGGCATCCTACTCCAAAACCACCTTGAGCTAGGATCTTTTACGTTGAAGACGCTATATTGAGATACCCCGTAAACATTAAACATATCTAAAAAGCCATGAAGGAACCCAACAAAACACAATTCAAGACTCGAAAAAAGCATCTGTGTGTGTACATAAAACCGATATGCATCGTAGCCTAAACCCTAAACCCGGAAGCCTAAACTGGCCGAAACCCTAGAGCCCGGAAGTCCCAAATAGCGAAAGCCTCCACCCGAAACCTTGAAGCCACGGATCCTCAAATCCCTCGAAACCATACCCTTACCCCATACCTAAAGTCTCCATTGTTGTTCCTTTTTGGGGTTGCCTAATAGGATCCTTGATGTAATACTGGTTAAACCAAAGAAAACTACAATGGAGACTCTAGGTAATAAATTAACCTACCAGCTTGAGCGTATGATATGTATGGACATCACACAATGCACCCGAAAAAGGACGACTTCTTAGGGTCCAGGTAAGCCCGAGAGTCACACCCTCTAACCCCAACCCTAAATCCCCAAATCCCTAAACCCTAAACCCTAAACTTTCTAAATCCCTAAACACGAAAACCTAAACCCTAAACCATAAATCTCTAAATCCCTAAACACGAAAACCCTAAACCCTAAACCACAAATCTCTAAATCCCTCAACACGAAAACCTAAACCCTAAACCCTTTATTCCCTAAACCTACCTTTGGTTAGTAGGGAATGGAAGAATGGTAGTAATGGTACTTATAATAGTTCCCATTCCTCCATTCCCTACTAACCAAAGGTAAGTAAAGCCCCAAACCCTCTGCTTGCTGCCGCCAAGGTGCCCTCGCTGAGCCGGGACCCTGCATCCTCGTGGGTCAACAACTCGAGAACTTCTGGGGTGTTAGGGTTTAGGGTTTAGGGTTTAGGGATTAGGATTTAGGGTTTAGGGTTTATGGCTTAGGGTTTAGGTATGGTTTTTAGGGTTTAGGGTTTAGGGTTTAGGTTTTTTATTTTAAATGCCTTTTGGTGACTGCACGAGGTAATGCGTCTCCAACCCTTGCGGGCAGGCTTGGGATCCTGATACCCAGAAGAGAAAATATGGCTTAGGGTTTAGGGTTTAGGGTTCCCCTAAACCTTAAACCCTAGACCCTAATCCTGTTTGGATAAAAACCCTAAACCCTGATCCCTCTTGGATTGCTCTAGCTTTGTTTTTGCAAGGTTTTGTTGCTTACATCGCTGCTTATGATGTGTAAAGAGTTTTACAGGGATTCAGGAGTTAAGGGTGTTGGGATGTCGTTCTTTCGGGTTCTGGTTTGGAGTGATGGGCTCGGGGGTTAGGGCATGCTGGGCTTAGGGTTTAGGGTTTTCGGGCTTGAAGGGTTTAAGGCATTCCCTCACCCCGGATAACCTGCCTTGTTGCAGTTACAGACTCATGTAACGAACTCATAGCAAGGAGCCGCTTCTAGCCTGGGGTGCCATTTCATCCCTACTATAGAAACAACCCTACTTTTCTATGCATGTATTTCGGACCCTTTGGGCGAGGCACGTCTTGAAACAGGAGCGGAACCAAAAACAACTGAAACCTGAAGACCGTTCAGAGAGGAGCCAGGGAAAGCCGAACCTAAATCCCGACCTTTGAACGTAGAACGGCACTGAGATAAACAATCTAAAGAACATTCTTTTCAATCCCCGATTTAAAAAAAACTCACCAAAAAAAACTATTCGGAGTTTGGACGTCGGAGTTTCGCATTTCGGGTCTTTGGGTTCAGGCTCTTGGGGCTCGGGGGGGTTTCAGATCGAAGAAGGTTTCTGTAAACCCAGAGAAGGCTTAGGGTTGTTTAGGGCTTAGAAGCCTTATACCTCTGCACCCTCGTGACAGTAAACCCGAAATATCCTAACCATTCGAGCGCCCTACAACCCTGATCCCTACAATTCGGGTTGGTTGGGCTTTGGGCAGAAGCATCGGATTTTGGTGTTTAGGGATTCATTTTGAGGCATCAGCTGAGTCTTGGAGAAAGCCTTACACATGGCTTGGGGTCCAAGCATTTCAAGGTCTTAGGGTTTATAAGCCCTCAATATTTAGTCTGGAGTTTCGGGCTTAGAGCGCCGGAAATAGCGCCATAAGTCTCGGCTGCGCAATCCCTTGATTTGGCTTACGGTCGACACCGCAGCAAGGCCCTTATCCTGCCAAACGCCTCCCCCAGCAAAACACAAACGCGATGGGATTTGGGGTCTATAAGGTGTTGGCGGCAAATGAATGGGGGCACTCTGTCCTGTCGATGCTCTCTGTGACCGTGTAAGGCTCACCGTACCTCGGAATGCACATGTTTCAGGCTTGAAGCTTGAGCGGGATCCCATGATTAGAATTGGGTGTGGGGGGATATTGTTGATGATAGAAATCCTGCATTACCTTAAGGACCCTCAACTATGAGAATTGTGGTATCTTCCTTATTATGGGTACTGCAGGATTTATATCATCAACCGTACTGTGGTCTTGCACAAGACTACAAGGGGATCCACCCTCCAGAGCCGAAACTCAACTGGTGGTTTTCTTACTCCAAACCCCAATAAGGATTCAGGGTTTAGGGCTTAGGGGTACCCATATTGGCCTTAGAGTAGTCCCGGTACTTTTTTGAGGCCAAGTAGTATACTATTCGGGTACATGGACCCTTAGGGAAACCCTAATCCTCAGGCCCGAACCCCACCAGACAAATACGCTGCTGGGCCCACTCCCCCCCCAAAAAAAAATCCGCAAAGCGCTCCGATCATCCCAACATCGAGCTGGCTTTGCCGCAATTCGGCTAGACGGCTAGAAGAGCTAGAGCGTCCGGGTTCAGAATTTAGAGTTTAAGGTTCAATACTTCGGCTTCAGTGTGGCTCTGAGGGTTCCAGGCTTTGCGCGGATTCTAAGTGTGAGTTGCGAGGGAAGAAATCTAAGGGCCGCGCGTGAGGCCATTCCGGTAGAAGGCATATTCCATCTGCCGTGTGGTGGTTGTGCCACCGACCTCGCGGCAGGAACACAACCGTAGACAAGCATGTCTGTGAATATCCAAGCACCCAAGAGTCTTCTACGCAAGCAATCAAACATATGGTTAGCAGCAGTGCAGACTGCCCTGACCCCTGAACCGGCATGAAGCACGAAAACACAACTGAGGTTCCTGATGGGGATGACAAAGTGATGATGATGCTGTTGCGGCTGATTGGGAGGATGACGGTGAACGCCGCTGCTGCTGCTGCTGCTGCTGCGGCTGCTCATTGAACCGATGACGATGATAAAGGTGATGGCAATATGCAGCTGATTGGGCTGCCGATGGTGATCATGATGATGGTGATGGTGGTGATGGTTATGATGACGATGGTGATGCTGATGATGATGACAATGAACATGATGGTTATGATGACGATGGCGATGATGATGACGATGCAATCGTGATGATGCGGATGATGATGATGATGATGATGATGATGTTGATGTTGATGTTGATTGATGATGGTGTTGATGCTGGTGATGATTGTGAGGATGAGGACGATGTTGATGATGGTGGTGGCGGTGGTGATGTTGTTGTTGATGATGATGATGATGATTCGAAGATCATCATCATGATCATGATGGTGATGGCGATTGCTGCTGTTACTTGTTGCCGATGATAACGAGGTTGAAAGCTAGTTAGAGCGGAGAAGGAGTGGATTGTTTGCCTGTAGCAAAGGTGCTGATATTCGTAGTTGTGGCTGTGGTAGTGGAGGAACAACAACGGCAAGCAGAGCGCGACGACAACAGTAGGAACCGTAGGAGCAGCAGCAGCAGCAGCAGCAGCAGCAGCAGCACATCAGCAGCTAGGAGAAGCAGCAGCGTCCATGTCTCCGGCCATTGATATGCTTTGACCTGACTTACTAGACCAGCGACCACCTCCTTGACCAACTGACACTAGTGTAATCTGGACAACATTAACATTGCCAAATAGGAGCACGGCACTAGACCAGCACATCACGAAACACTGATACAACAGCGACTCAAAGAAACTGGCCAGACCAGCGTCCGAGGGTTGGGCATTGTGCATGTATGGCCAGTGGAGGTAAAAACATACAAACTTGGGTTTAGGGCCTAGATGGGTCTAGGGTGTGGGCGACGAATCCTCACATCTTGAAGTCTTGAAGCCCTAAACAGTCGCAACAGGCCTTCCGCTTCGTCATGGAAAGGTGCACCTCGATTGTACAGCTTACTTCCGTTGCTCTACATTCTACATGGACATAAACGAAATGGCTGATGCGGGCTTTGCAAGACATTGAGGGCTTAGGGATGCACGCTTGGCCTATTAGTGCTTTATTCTCGGCGCTTGGGCTGAGCAACTCAGGCTTTTTGGCGCTTGGTGCAGGCATGCAGGTTGACGGAGGAGCATGTGGCCAGTTCTCTAAACTAGGGTCCCTTTTAGGGTCCCTTTTTGCAAGGGTGCCGTACTATATTGGGGATCCAAAAAGGGACCCTCATTTAGAAAACTACCCATGTGGAGATTCGGGTTTACAACCTTCTGAGTGGGCCCTGGCAGCAGACCTCCGCACATAAACATCGAGGAAAAGCCAGAGAGCCCTAGAGCAAGAGCAACTGAACCAAGGGTAGCCAGCTTTATCGAACTCGCTGCGAAAATCTTGACTTACCTGTGGCCTCAAGCTTCAGGCTGGATGCTATAGTTTTGTTCGGCTGAAGCTGCCTACATAAGCTGCACCCTACCGTGGCACCGTACCATGGATGAATTTGATATGGACCATCTCGTCTCCTGCGCGTGTTGTTCCGAATCGAAACCTGCGAAAAGAGCCTCCAAGGAGCACTAGACCCCTCCTAAAACCCCCAACCACTATACCAGTCAACCCCAAACTCGTCTAAACCCCTTTTACCCTAAAACTCTTAACCCTAAAGCCCTAAACTACAAACCAGGTCTATGCAATGATTCGTGTTATGCAGAAACGCAGCTCGAGACTCATCCCCCTTAGAGCGCCCTTATCTGAGGGATCCTTAATTCTACCTAGGCTCACCCCACCTGTTCAGGTCCCCGAAACACCCGCTAAGCCCCATCAAGAGCCGCCCAAAGACTTGGGTGCAAAACCCTAGCTGAAATTCTTGAAGTAGGGTATCACGACTGAGACCCCAGCCAACTGTCCAACATCATTGAAGGAGTAGTTGACAGGCAAGTCCTGCTCAGGGCTTCAAAGGAGATCATATGTACCCTAAACACTAAACCGACTTGGTTGCATAGCCTCGTTGGGGCTCGGTGGTTTCAAGGTGACGGGTCTCTGTCAACTCGTACTGCGGGTCTGTGGCCTCATGTTTCGTCACCGAGAAAAAAGCCATGCAGCCACCCGTACTTTGGACTCAGTTGCTGAGTTCAGAAGCAAAAAAAAAGTGTACACTTTTAGTTCGATATGGGATCATATTACCCTAAAAAGTTTAAAGTGTAGTAATTCAGCTATTAAGTGGACTGGTGGTTCTGGCGTGGCTTAGGGTATCGGCTATCGTTACTGAAAGCCCCCAAATGGAGGTAAAAGAATGGCCCGACACCCAAAAAAAAAGGCTATGATTCTACATACCTAGGTAGTTATGACTTGAAATCGGACATCTGCGCTTGGGAGGCTCGTGGTGGTCCAATTTCAGTTTCGGGCTTCCATGGGGTGCAATCCCTCGCTTCTTTCAGCTGCTCTTTGTAGAGAGTTTAGGGCTCAGGGTTTAGGGTTTACGCCACCACACTGTAGTATGTCCAGGAGAAGAGCAGGCCGAAACATCGATACAGAAAGAGGGCTCTCACTCAAAGCCATAATACATACGTTTTCCTGATCCCTATAAGGCCTAATCCCTGGCCCCAGCTCCCTTCAAAAGCAAAAAACCCACATTGTTACCGACCAGTGGCTTCGAGCCCAACACACGGGTAGTTTTACCCCAATATAGTACGGCACCCTTATAAAACAGGACCCGAAAAGGGACCCTACTTTAGAGAACTACCTACATTCAGTCTGCCAAAATACCTTGTTCCGGTTAAGGCGTTGCAGCTCATGAATCCTGGAATCTGCTGTCCACCAATGAAAGCCACGGTTTAGGGTTAAGGGTTTTTGTCCCTCTTAGGGTTTGGGGTTTAAGGGTTTAGGGGTTTAGGGGTTTAGTGGTTTAGGGAGCTTGACACATGTTTGCCTTCGAATGCATTGAAGCCCTGGCCCCGTCACTGCGCTCGGAAAGGCACCCTGTCCTGGGTGACCACATCGGCCTCTTTCGAAGGGTGTGCGGAGTCGGGATTTAGACTCGAGTTTGTGCCAGGACTTACAGTTCCCTAAACCCTAAACCCTAGGATTTAGACTACAGGCTTACAGTTCCGAAGCCATAAGACATCTTGAATCCAAGAAAAGGGACCGGGAATGGTATTCTCTATGCCCGGAAGCCAACACCCTGCACCCCAAATGGAGGGATGGCATGAACGAACACAAACCCACATAATTATCACGCAAATCAAATTCTTCTCAACTTCGTCTGCTTAGGATGATGAAGGCATATTCAGGAGATATTTAGCTAGGCAGTTGGTGTCCTGGCATCCTCCCCCACAAAAATAAAGACAATCATGCAAATCATGATTACGTGCCAGCTACAGTACTTATGCCATATTCGAGATGGGAACTTGCCCTACGGGTCCAAAACTTGCGAGGGTCCAGGGGAGCGTGACGGCAAAACTGGTTGGCCCTTTCAAGCCTCTGAAGAATATTTGTAAATAGGGTCCTCTTAAGCCCAATAAGGGAAAATATAGAATATCCCAAAGGCCTACCTGAAGGTCCAATCTGAGTGACCATGAACCAGCTCGATCTCTGTGACTGGTGTCACCGACACGGGCGGGGGGGGGAATCCAAGGGGGTTTAGGGCTTAGGGTTTACCTGGACCCCCAAGAACCTAGCTCTTTAGGGTTCCTGATTATGATTTCCTTATATTAAATATAAGTCCTGAAAAAGGTAGGTTCTTTGGGGTCTAGGTAGGGTTTAGGGGGACCCGAGACCATAAATCCGACCTCGCTGCTGATGATCCACTGCCCCGGCTGTCGCAAGGCATATGCGATGGTTGTGTACCTGGGCGGGGCTCAGGTCTGCTGGCTGGGATTTAGGGCTTAGCGTATTTTAGGGCGTTTAGAGTTTAGGACTTGGGGTTTGAGAGGTTTAGGAAGCTTATAGGGCTTAGGGTTTAGAGCTTAGGGTTCGATGACGGAAACCTATCGAAACCCATCGAAACCCGACAACGTCTTCAACCCTCAACCCGCAGAAAAGCCTACGTCCTAAGCTCCCAGCAACCGAACCACCAGCCCCAGAGCCGGGATCCCCGAGTCCAGAATATCTTCCCTCCACACCGCGACTTACAGTTTGCAGCCGCATTCCCAAAACCGAATTTGGGACTTTGAAGAAGTCAAAATACGTAAGGACAACAATAGTAGTGGTATCAAAAACCAAACAGTTTTATTCTTCCCTGATAGTCTCTGTGACACTGTGGAGTGTATACCCCAAACCCTTGATTTAATTCGACTACCCTAAACCCCTAAACCCTCAACCCCAAGCTACTCGCTGAACTTGAAGCCCTTAAGCGGCAGAAGAGGCCTCCATGTTCCGGGAATGCACGGTGCATTTCTTGTAGGGTTTAGGGTTTAAGGTTTAGGGAGTTAGGATTAGGGGGACCCTTGGGGATATAGACCCTCTCAATCAGGTCCGGTTTTTAAGAGAGCCATAAGTGGGGTTAAGAAGAGTGCCCTTTAAGGGGTCCCCCTATCTACTATGTAGGAGAGTAAGCCTCAACCCTAAACCCTAATTACCCATTCAGGACCTTGAAGCACGCCGAAGCAGCCGAAGCCCTGCTTCGGGGTCTAATTTGGGGCTTGGGGCTTCAGGGGCTTTTGGGGGGTTCAGGGTACCGGCCGGAAAGGCCCAACACCCAAAATTGGGGTTTGAGGCTTTGGGTTTGGGGTTTAATTCGGGTTGAAGCTTTAGAAGCAGGCTTGGGCGCACAATGTGCTACAATGCTACGATATACTGCAAGGACTCGGAACCGATGCTACTGCTAGATGCTAGTTGCGGTAGGGAACAGTGCACCTGAAGACCTGCCTTTCAAGGGTTCGTTACACGGTTCGTTCCATAAGTAATAAGGCATACCTATACCTGGACCGAAAAGTATGTAGAATACTTGCCTTTTATAGGTGTTGGGCCATTATTTTATCTAGTTTGGGGGCTTAATTAAGGGGGGGCGCTACGGTGGGTTTAATATAACTGGGGATGGAGGTGCGCTGGTGTTTCCCCAAACCTTCAAACCCATGAACACGAAGTACCCGTGCTGGGTTCTTACCGAGGAACTTGTTGTAAGGGGATCATCCTCTTCACTATAGAGCCCTGCTACGGTACTCGGATCCCTATAGAAACCTAGCAATCAAAAAGGGCTCTCCTTGTGGCATTGGGGTAGTATCTTTCAAGGAACCCAAGATCACGAAAAGGGAAAAAAGGTACCACTGGGAGACCTAGATAGAATTCCTACGGGTTTAGGGGTTTAGGGGTTAGGGGTTACGGTTGAGGAGTTCAGGGTTTAGGGTTTTGGGTTTAAGACTTACTTGCTTAACAAGTTGAACAAGGGCTTCCGGCAGATGGGGTTTCGTGCTTTCGGGACTGGATCTTGGGGATGTGCTGTTGTAAGAAGTCCTAGGCTGCCGGGTTCGGGGGTTATCTGGGGATCCAAAAACCTACCGTTTTAAAGGTTCTACCGTCGAATTAAGGGGTCGAGTCATAACCTACTATTTTGTAGGGTTTAGGGTCACAGGTAGGGCTTAGCCTTACTCTCTTGCGCCGCTGTCACTGAAGCTCTACGTCATGATCTTTCTGCATGGGAAGCTGCTGCATGCCGTCGACCGACTGAAAGCCAAGTACCTCCCGTGGACTACTTCGGAACCTGCACTGCCCTCCGGAGAAACAAGATTTTGAGGTGCAGGGCTGTTGGGTTTCAGGGTTCAGAGTTTTTTCTGGGCTTAGGGTCAGACTTTGTCGATAATGTAGGAGGCCTTCTCCCTGCAGCAGAATTGCAAGCCGAGGTGTAGGCTCTAAGCAAAAGGCGCTCCCATTTAGAAAACCCTAAACCCTAAACCCCTAGAGAGTCTCGAGATATAGGGTCCTCGGGGAGGATGTATGTCCTTTCTAGAGCTTCTGACGGGATAGAAGCAAGAACCCAAGCCCGAAACATTTACAAGCCCTACGTGGCCTCTTTTTGGAGCGGAGTCATGGTCAATGACACACACACACACATATATATATACACATATATTATTGTTGAAAATACAAAAAATACATAAGTAAGTATATACATGTATATGAATCAAAAACCTTAGAAAGGGTTTGTGCTCTCCTGGAAAGCCCTAAAACCCAAAAGCGCACGCCACCGCCGCCAGTGTGCTCGTAGGCTTTGAAGTCTTTGAGCGACAAAATGCTATCCCTGGCGCGAAGAGGCGTAATGTGTTCAAGATTAGAACCGCGCAACCTTTTACTGCATGCGGAAGCCCACGTGTGTTTTCCTACAGAATCCACAGATCGGCAACTCCACAAACCGACTCTGCATCGTCTACTACGCGTGCGAGCGAAACTCAAAAAAGGCCTACGATCCCTATACCTTCCTCCCTTTTGCTTGACCTAGCCCTCAACCCTACACCACCACCCTAAACTCCTCACTCTTGATCCTTGGCTACTTTCCGGCTGTTTGGAATTCGTATCTTGATCCCGAATAATTCAAATTCGGAGGGTCCTAAGTACCTCTGTGGGGGATGCTCACCCAAACCATACTCGTAATTCCTAGTATATGGGCCCAAATTTCTGTGTACTCAGGGTCTAGTAGAGGGTAGATAGAGGGTCGCAGCATCATGACCTTCCAAAAGCTTAATATAGGAAGCAGTGACAAACTCTCAACAACTCTCAAGTACAGCTGAGGTCCAGAGGTTTCCAAGTTTAAGTGTTCTAGTCGGCAGTGACTTCCAAAAGCTTCGCGAAACCAGAAAAGCTCTATGTGAGAGTTCCCGAAAAGGGGTGCCAGCACATGGACCCTAAACACTACGGCTGACTGCAGTACATGGAACTTATGGCATGTGTCTCGCATTTGGCAGGATTTGCAGACCAGCAGTAGGATCCTTATTTTAAGGACCCATAAACTAGGACCCCTGTTTAGAGAAACTTTCGTATGTGAAGGTGCGCATAATCATGACAAGTCTCCAGAATTCCGTATCCTCGAAGCGGTCCTCGGATTGTACAAACAAGGGCTTGGAATTGAAGGTCAAGTGAACAACTGTTTGGTGACCTCAGCCCAACCACCCGCTGCTGCAGCCTGAATTCCAGCCAAGTGCCCAATGAGTAGGGTCTATCTAACTCAAGATTTTTTAGGTACCATAAACCATTCGGAGTATAATAACCCTAAACCCTAAACCCTAAAGTTTGTGACCTAGGCAAGCCTCTATTGCAGGCAACTGGGATCCTGCTAATGATAATTCCCATAGTTTAGGGTCTTTAAGCAGTATTGTTTGGAAGTTCCTATGCTACTAGGACGGCGCCTTTAAAGCCTCTGAAGAAGATTCGTAAATCAGATCCCCTTAGGCCCAAGAAGGGGAAAGGGTACATATCCCAAAAGCCTACCTGCGGTGCAGACTACCTACAGTCCTAGTCTCCATGGTAGTTCCTTTCTTTTGGGTTAACCTATCATATATTTAGAATCAACCCCAGAGAGGAACTACAATGGAGACTGTAGGTACTCTTATGGACTTAGGTCACCAAAACCATAATGAGGATGCTCTTTTGGTACCCAAGTAGCCATGCTGCAATAATCGAGCCTTCTTCAGGGTTCCCCTTCAAACCGGGTTAGAGCTTTCCCCCAACACAAGACCCGAAATCCCTCATCTGCGAAAGCCACAGCCACCAAACCCCAAGAAGCCGATATCCTAAACCCTAAACCCTAAAACCCAAAACCCTAAAACCCTGAAGCCCTAAACCCTGAACCGTACACCCTGTAACCCTGAACCGCTAAACCCTAAACCCCTACACCCTAAACCCCTAACCCTCAACCCTGTAACCCTGAAGCCTCACTTGGAGGGTCCGGGGACTTAATGAGTAGTTCTGTAAAAGACTTGTAAGTATCATAACCCCAATTAGGCTCCCTTTTAAGGGTACTTATAAGCCTACTCATTACCCACTTACTAAGTCCCCCGACCCTCATAACCAAACCCCAAAACCCTGAACCCTAAGCCCCTAAACCCTAAACCCCAAACCCTCAACCCTGAACCCTAAACCCTGTAACCCTGAAGCCCTAAACCCCAAACCCCCAGACTCTCTGAGTCCCCGGGCTGGGTGCCAGAACTCACGGGTGCGCGGCTCTTGCAGCGTCAGCCGAATCTGTCAGGAGCGCAACTCATTCGGACACGCTTTGGGGTGTTGAGGTTTAGGAGTTTAGGGCTTACCTAAAGTCTCCGCTGTTGTTCCTTTTGGGGGTTACCTTATAGGATCCTTAATATAATACTGGTTAAACCAAAAAAAGGAACTACAATATTGTAGACTCTAGGTAGGGTAGGTTTTTGGGCGTTCAGATACTGCAGAAAGTCTTTCTACGAGACCTTGAAGCCAGTCATTTGGACCTAAGCTCTTGCAGGGAGGGGGTAGTCAACAGTTTCGGGGAGTCTTGGCCTGGATTACCGAGGACAAAACAGCTATCTTAGGGCAAGGCAGGAACAGTCTTCCTAATCGCGGGGTCTCGTGTTCTAGGCGTTCGGTACAAACGAGGCCCTCAACCCTAAACTAAACTTGTCCCTCAACCCAAAACCCTAGTACCCAAGCCTTGAACCCTACATTGAAAACCCGAATCTAAAGGCTGAAGTTCGTCTTTTGGTTCAGTGCCGTCGGGCAGCAAAGCGGCACTTGAAGTGCACCGTGGTAGGCACAACCTCAGACAGGGATTGCGAACATGAGCACCCAAAGCCCAACCACAGGAAAAAGTCCCAAAGCTCCAGTCAAGGCCGCGAGAACCTGCCATGGACGAGACACTTCTCTAAACACCAATAAGCTCTACATCCTATAAAGCCTACGATGCCCTAAGCCCTAATCCACGGCCTGGTTTGTGGTGTGTCCATTACTGGCCTGGAAGGCTGAGGTGTTGAGGACACTTAAATTTTTGAGAATGTCCCAATGCCAAATTTTCAAGATCAGTCCCATCGAAAGCTTAGAGGTTTTGGGTTCCAGAGGGCTTAACTGGGTCTTTTCTTGCGGAACTTGTGGTTCAACTGTCCACAGTAAGGGAAACAGCTTATGTACTTTAGACCCCAAATATGGTAACCTAAATTAACAAAGAACCCAGTTAACAGCTGGCTCGAGGCTGACAGTTGCAGCTTTAGCGTTTAGGATTCAGGGTCTCGGGTTTAGGGTTTTAGGGTTTGGGTTTAGAGTTTAGGGTTTAGGGTGTAGGGTTTAGGGGGTTGCGGACACGCTCCAGGCGGAATGGGTTTGGGAACGGAAAGCTCCCGTTAGTGCGACTGAACCCCTAGACCCTAAACCGCCTGGCCAGAAAGATACCTGGGGCACTCCCCCCCACGCTGTAACAGTCGATACTAGCGGTCATATTAAGGGCGATATATAATGAGAGCATAAAGAGAACCAAACTGTTACAGAGTTGGGGCAGTACATACCCAACACATACCCCATTATAAGCCGTAATCCCAAAAGCCTACCAGATCATCCGGACTAACCCGAAGAAGGAGACCTGTAGGTACAGAACCCTCCTACATTATAGAGCCCTCAACCCTAAACCCTAAAATCCTAAAGCCCTAAACCCTAAACCCTAAAACCCTAAACCCTAAAACCCTAACCCCAAACCCTAAACCCTAAAACCCTAAACCTTCAAACCCTAAAAACCCTAAACCCTAAACCCTAAACCCTAAAGCCCTAAAACCCTAAACCCTAAAACACTAAAACCCTAAAACCCTAAACCCTAAAACTACAAACTAGAGCACACAGAACGAGCGAGCCCAGGAAGCTCAGGTTTGGGAGTTGGTCTTCGCTCCCTATCGAAACTCTGAAGAAACCTGCCTTCTTTAGGGTTTAGGGTTTAAGGGTTTAGGGTTTAGAGTTTAGGATTTAGGATTTTTCGGGTTAAGGGTTTTAGGGTTTAGGGTTTTCGGGTTCAGGGTTTAGGGTTTTTTTTAGGGTTTAGGGTTTCGGGTTTTAGGGTTTGGGGTTTTAGGGTCTAGGGTTTGGGGTTTTAGGGTTTAGGGTTTGGGGTTTTAAAAATTTTGGGTTTTGGGTTTTAGGGCTAAGGGTTTGGGGAATTATAATTTTGGATTTAGGATTTTGGGTTTTAGGGTTTTAGGGTTTAGGGTTGAGGGTTTTAGGGTTTAGGGATAAGGGTTTAGGGTTTTAGGGTTTAGGGGGTAAAAGGAGGCGCATGGGACATGCACTTCCTCCGAAGGAGATCCTAACCAACACGGAAACCTGCCTTGCGGCCATTCATGGGAAGGGTACTGTTGATGATAAAGAAACCGGTACTGCAGGATTTACATCATCAACCCTAAACCCTAAACCCTCAAAAGCGGGGAGGTTTGGGAAATTGGGGGGCGAGCTCTGAGATGCCGGCAATGTCGGCATCGACGTTCCCGACCAATGCGTACGCCTCAGGAAGCAATTGCTTGGAGGGTTTCGGGTTTAGGGTTTAGGGTCGAGGGACTTAGTAGAACCCTTAAGGGGATCTATAAGGGTTCTACGAGGGTTCCTTTCGAGGGGTATATAAGGGTTCGATGAAGGGTCTTGGAGGGTCAGGGGACTTGGTAAGTGGGTAATATGTAGACTTAGACTTATGATACTTGTAAGTCTATGTCATTTTCGATTTAAGTACTTTCTCAGTATCATGGGCGCATCCCTCCGTTTCTTTCCATACCTACTTCACACCACTCGGGAGCAGTTCGTGAGACCTTACATGCAGCTTTGCCTGGTTATCGGCCTACGCACATCGAACATACATATGCTCTGTGTCTGCCAATCTCAACTGTATGAAGCTAATCTGGGCATACTCTGCCAAACACAACACAAAGCAAAATCAAGCAAGCATGCCTGCACGCACACCCACCACGATCAAGACACAACCTGAGGTGACATGAAAGGTAGTGCGGAGCTGGTGGCGCGCTGCCAGTTGCTGCGGTTGTCGTTGCGGTCAGCATAGTGCACCTGAGCAGCGAGTGTTTGTAGCACAGTAGGATCCAGGGTTCAGATTCTCCCAGACTCTCCTCGGTCTCCCCCTTTCTAGACCCTATACCAGCAGCCGTATAAGACCTAGAAGGACCATAAAACAAATACTGATTTCGACCCCTATACACGAATGAATTTGAGAACCCTCTCCTGAGCAGGGCCCTTCCTTGGAGCTATGCGGAGGACATGGGGCCCAAACCGAAACAAAGAGGGAAGCCTACCTTAACC